TTAACCGAGTGGTTCATTCTATTCTGACTACACTCTTCTTTTTCAGGGAATACTAAGAGTGCGCAAACGAGTCACATTGAGTGTCATCACTATCAGTATTATCTTTGGAATCTGTTGGATCACAGGCCTTCTTATTTACTTCTTGAGTAACTATAACATTCTTGTGTTCGGTTCAGCTTCTGACTTCGTTTCTGACATCATGTTCATGTTTAATTCTTGTGTCAATCCTTTCGTGTACGCGCTGCTCAACGAACGTTTCAGGCAGAAGATCAAGGCAATGTTACACTGCACGTGCAAATCAAAGAGATGCTCCCCTGCAACACACGAGCCAGCAACGATAATCCATCAAAAGAACCAACTAAATACCAAGTGAAAATCAAAACAATTCAGAGGAATTCACCATATTAACAGTGCATATTTTGAAATATTTTTAATCTATAGCAACCCGACCGACTTCCCACTAATTAGATCCTCTCTAGAAAATAACCGCGTGGTGTTTAGATCAGTCCTACGATGTACTTAGAAATATTAAGTTTGTAAGATGTCTTAGATAAGTGTCGACGTTTTGCCGATAAAGGCTGATTGCCCAAAGTATTAAATATGATCCAGAACTGACAGTAATCTTTTCAGTAAGGTCTGTAGGTGGATGAGCCAAAGCTCGCCACACAACCATTATATTATCCATATAGGAGAGGATGAACCAAGAGGGACCGTTCTCTTTTTTTATCATATGCGTACCTCCTTTAGCTAGAAAAATTTAAACACTACATTTTAGGGTATGGGTTCCTGTTCGGATAATCAGTTGTACGGAATGATGTACATACTGAAGCGAAAAGTTAGGCGCCCCATCCTCCCTTACTTATGTGTTTATAGTTATATTTAAGTGATAAGAAATATTCATCGTCAACTTTATCATTATGAAGTATCGATATTTCTAGAAACAGCCTAGGAACAACTCCATACCATCCCTGACAATTTGCTTTACAAGGTATAGTTGCTCGAACAAGCATTTAATAAAATTCACGGAAGCTTC